ACTTTTAGATATGTCAATTTAGATACACAGTTAGGAAATGTTTCCAGATGGAAGAAGCAACCGAAGAGTTTAAGAAGAGTTGAGCAAAAATAAATACCGTACATATGCTAACGGCGACACACACCCATTAAAAGTTTGTCACCAAGTTTCAACCAATGGCCTTACTTTAATTGGTTTTACAAAATAGCTCCATTGCCTCATTGAATGGGCAAAACACACAAAACAGACAAAACACACGTACAACATATAACAGATAACAGAAGTTTTCGGTTGAAGGCGATTTAACGCCTGTTAACCGTCTAGGTCTAGGTAGATCCTCTACAATATTCAATTTCTGCAAAACCAAAGTTTAATTTATGTTGGAATCTTTCGATTTAGTTATACATTCTCTTTGGTTGATTTGTATTGCTATTCGTTTTAATAATAGACTCAATCAAATACTTTTCTACAGAAAACGTCAATGTACTGTAAACGTTGGTCATAATGGTCATACAATTTCGTTATTTGAAATCGAAAAACATCCATATCAAATGTACTCCAAATTGTTACAACTACTACTCATAAATGAGAGACAAAGTAAAAACTATACCAATAATCTTTCTACAAAACTATAGTACGTACAACCAAAATAAAAAGCAACAAGAGAAATAGACTGCTTCACCATACGGCAGTTATCACATGTTCAAGTAATACGAGTTGCCATCATGTAGTAAAAATGTTTAAAAACCCTCTGCATTAACAAAATAAAGAGAAAAAATAAGTAAAATATCAAATGTAGTTTTTTAAATAACTGTATAAGAAATTCCGAGACATCTGAACGATAAATCAAATCGAAAACGTTGTTTTTAAATAAACCATTTATGTACGAATAAAAAAAAAAAAAGAAAAAAAAACATAAAAATTAATCAAAAATAGTTTAGCTGAAAAAAAGGAAGCAGATAGATAAATAACATCAAAAATGGTTTGAAAAATTAGTAGTTTTTGATTTACTAATACCAAATCCTCACGTACTACGAGAAATAAAAAAAAAATAAGGAAGAAAGCTAAGACAAAATTTACCACCAAAAAACAGTTCTTAGAAAAACAAATTTTAGACTCGTTCAATATGACGGCACTATATTGGCCTGATAAACGAAAGTAAAACAATAAATGAATAAAATGAAATAACGAAAGTACTAGATCTGTTGTAACTTTTATTAGGCACCCAATACCAGCGTTAAATAAACCATGTTTAAAAAATATATACTGTTATGCGTCTAAATATCCTGCATAATGAATTTTGTATCATAGACAAAAAATCTGAACTGAAAGAATCAAATTGCCCACATCAACTAAAATTCAGAATAAGAACATGTATCTCTGATATCAGCATCCTGAGGACAACTGTTATTTACATAAGCAACAATATCCCATACAGTAATTCCAATATAGGTTAACAAATCTAAAATAGTAGATGGGTCTACAAAGAACAACTTAGAAGGTAAAAATGCGCCACTGAAAGAAAAATCCATCCTACAAGTTCAGACACGTTCAACATAACGTCACTGATTGAATTATCTATAAGGCAGTTGTGACAAAAGGATTATCTGGTCCTCTTTTGTTCTAAAAGTTACAAAGACCTAGTTGTCCAAGATCCATTGCAGTTGATCGATTTTATTCAGAACATAATAGGCCTGCTTACATTATAGGTAAAGTCAAAGTTAGGGTTATGGAATTTGCTAGGGCATTTTAAATTAGGTTGTTGTCATGTTTAATTGGGGTTAAAACAAAACAATCCGAATATACATAAAGAATCAAATGGTCCACAACCAACTAAAAAGCAGAAAAAGAACCAGCATACAGCTCTGTTTACCTTCACCTTGGAGCCAGTGATGCTGTGACAACATTTATTACGTAAGAAACTTTATTCCTAAAATTCAAATATAGGTTAACAAATTTAAAATGACAGATGGTCTAAAAAGAAAAAATAGAATAGAAGGGAAAGATGGGCTCTGAAAAATCCATTCTTACAAGTTCAGACACGTTCAACATGACGTCACTGTTTGAATTATCTATAAGACTATCATGACAAAGGATTAAACAATAGCTGGTTATCGCTTTTCAAAAGCTACAAGGACTTGTCTAGAACTATTGCAGTTGATCGATTTTATTCGGAACATATTTGACCTACAATTACATCACAGTATAGGGTGAAATCAAAGTGAGGGTTATGATATAGGTAAGGATATTTAAATGTAGGTGGTAGCTACGTTTGTATTGATTGAAGTAAAATAGAATAGGATTAAACACCCTGTAAAATAGGATAGGTTTAGGGTTATACACAATAGGGTTAGGGGTTAACCATCTTTCGCAAAAAAAAATGCTATAAAAATGAAACAGGGTTAGGGTTAAGATCCCCTGCTCCTAAATGGTATAGGTTTAGGGTTAAGCACCCCTACTCTATTAAAAATACCCCTACTCATAAATGGAATAGGGTTAGGGTTAACAAGCACCCCTGCTCCTAAATGGAATAGGTATAGGGTTAAGCACCCCCACTGTAAAAATGGAATAGGTTTAGGGTTAAACGTCCTGCTCTATCAAATACACCCCTACTCAGAAATGGAATAGTCCTGCTCCTCATTTTATGCAAATTAAGGTCACGTGATGCCAAATACAGGCTTCTGATTGGTCGAGAGCCTCCCAAATAAGGAAAAAATTTCCTGGTCAGACCCTATGCACTACTTAGTGCTTTCACAGGGCACAGGCAGCTTCCACGATTTTCCTTAAATACATATTTTGGATGTGGACCTTTGCTATGTTTGAACGTGCAGAAAGTGATGACTACTTTATCCTTATGAAGTACTATGTCGTTGGACGTAGATGTGTATAAGAGACAGGGTCATAAGACTGTCATAAGAAGAGAAGTTGATGAGTAATAAATATAGAAGCATACATGATAAAACTGGTTATAACCATG